CAGGAAGGGTCACAGAATGAGTCAGGGAAGACTGATGTGGAAGAGCAGGCATGGAGAGCTTTTTAAGTAGGGAGAGAGACTATTAAAGTGAAATGGGAAGCTATGCAGGGATTTCAGTGAGGAAGATATGATATGCATTATATCAGATTAGAGGCCCAGTGCATGAAATTCACACATGGGTAGGGTCCCTAGGCCTGGCCGGTGATCAGGGCCAATCTGTGGGGCGACCAGCAGGGTGATTCGGGGGGCCCCGGCTGGCACCCACCTTGGCTGGCCTGGGGCCTGTGGGCTGGGGGAAGCTCCTGCATTGAGTGCTGCGTCCTGGTGGTCAGTGCACATCATAGCGACTGGTTGTTCAACTGGTCATTCCACTGATCCTTCCACTGGTCGTTCTGCCATTCGGTTGATTTGCAAATTAGGCTTTTATTTTATAGAGTAATGTGTAAAAACTAGCCTGAAGTGGGATAAAAGTGGAAAGGAAGTAACTACAGGGGTGGGCAAAAGTTGGTTTACAGTTGTTACTGTGGAAAAAATATAATACAAGAATAAGTCTGTGTTTCATGTACTCACAATTGTAAACCTACTTTTGCCCACCCCTACATGTATGGCAGAAATTGAAACATGCGCTCCCATTAGCCATTGTCCCCTTCCTCCTTACTGTGAGAACTCAATTTTATTCTGGAGTGCAAAGGGTCCAGCCAAAGTAGGATATTTCCCATTTTCTTTGAAGGTGGTCAAGGCCACATGTAATAATTCTGCAGTTAGAAATGACTCTGCTGAGGATCTTTGGGCAAGTTTTGCTTTCTTGATCTAAAGTTTTGAGATTCATATGTGTGTGTGTGTGTGTGTGTGTGTGTGTGTGTGTGTGTGATGGCAGAAGCAGTAGCAGTCATCTTAGACAACCATCTAGGAAAAGCTAATTATATCATAGAAACTCAGGCTTGACGGCCTTGAACCACTGAACTGGTGCCGACAAACACCAAAATCTGGATTTTACTCTGTGTGACAAGAAAAATCTCCATTTATGTAAGATACAGCTGGGTCTGGTTTTCCGTTCCTCACAGGTTGACACAGTGTCTCACTGACACACCAGGCTATTATTGTGCCTGGGCAGCCTGCACTGCAGTGGCGGCAGTTAAAATGGAGAAAAGTGGGCCTATTTGAAGGGGGAAGCATCAGGACTTCCTGATGGCCCAGATGTGGGGCTTGTGGTGGGAGACAATGGGTGTAAAAGTTATAGGATTTTGGCTTGAGAATTTATAAAAATGGGATGGAAAACCCAGAAGAAGAACAGGTTTGAAGATTAAAATCAAGAAGTCAATATTTGATATTTTCCAGTTGAGGCACCTTAGAGGTATTAATGAGAGTAGTCTCTACTCCTGTGGTTTCCATGAGGTGGGATTTCCCTCCAGGACTCCTGGCCCTGCTCCAGCCCTTCATGTTCTCCTCAGCCAGGGGGTGCAGCAGACAGCCTAGAGAGACACTCATTCCCCTTTGGTCCTCCACCTGCACCTACAGGTGCAGACTCCGGGGAAGAGACCTAGGGCCAGATGCTCAGCCCTGTCAGGAAGCCTATTCTCCATTATTGCTGCAGATCTCAACCTTGTTTTCCAATTTGACTTTTCTCAGTAATAAAACGCTGAGACCTGGATCTTCACACACTAGACTTCTGTGTCTGGCGCTCAGTGGTTTCAAGCCTAGGCCAGCTTATTTGTGTATCATGTTAGGCAGGCACGTCGTATTCTTCCAGCCACAACTGAAACCTTGTTTTAATGGGTTCTTCTTTCAGAAGATATTGCCAAAGAAAACTAAATTCATCCCTTTTTCTAATACGTGGCTGCCTTGGTCTTCATTGTTAGAGTTAAGTGTTCAGTCTTGCCCCCCAAGCAGGACTGTAAACTGCACAGGAATGAGAATTTATTTAGAATGGATACCAGTGATCATCTATTGTTCAGGCATTTGACTTCTTGCCTTAATTTTACAGGAATGGTATTATTAGAATTGTGTGGCTTTTCCCTGTCTCCCTTTTCTCCATTACTAATTCACCCTTCCCTTCCTCTACCCACTAATCCATTCTTTGCTTTCCTCCTTTGAAAGGTGGTATCAATACTAGTGTTCTTTATCCTACCCCTAGTGACCTTAACTTCAGGATAGCTGGGCATTCACAGCTGGGTAAAGGGCCATTCCTCATGACTGGGGAATGTGGGGAAGCTTGTCTGATAGTGGCCTGTAGGAGACAGAATATGTAATAAGACAGGTGTCCCAGGATGGTCTCACATTGGATATTTGGCCACTTATCAGAGTTTATGTTTGGGAGTTTCTTAGGTAATATTTTACACTGCCACAAAAATGGCCTTTTGACAACAAAGTTATATAAAACACTTCTACACATAAGATCCTGGTTTTTCTTGGCCCTTTCTCTCCCCATTCTAACAGATATATTATCTCTTGGGTTTACACTGATGAAAGAGGTGCTAGCCATTTTGGCACATTATATCACTGACAATAACACATTCCCAGAATGAATATGTAAATCACAGTCACCCTCCAGTGTGAGATCCTGCACCTGGTGTGGAATGGAGCACAGCATTGTTACTGTGCCATTCAGTGGTTTTTACCCAGCAAGGGAACATTGGCAGCTGTGATGCATTATGCCGCTGTGACTTTAACTACAGACACAGATAGAGTGCCCATAAAAATATACGCCCTTTTTTTTTTTTAATAGAGCCTTGGGCAATTACCCTGACTATTGTTCTATGAGAAAGCCCCATTTACACCCCTTCATCAATTTAGGACACAGACATGAAAAATCACCAGCATTAAGTAGTTAAGGCAATTTGCTTTCCAAATGAAGAAAGGACAAAAAAATAATACTGCAGAAAAATCTCTGCTCTTGAGTTGCCCGAGTTGACAGTCAAAAGCTCACCTCAAATAAAGGGTCCTGAGGAGGCGATTTCTGATGGTACCTTCTTCCTAAACAGAGCCCAGGGGCAATGTGTTCAGGGTCTCTTCCTACTGTCAGCACTAGGAGGACATGTGGGGGGTGGACAGCCCACAGGTGTGGTGTGGACTGTGGTGGGTCTACCTGATGGCCGGGCTGGGTGTTCTGAGGAAAGGCTACAGAAACGTTGCTCACCTTGAGAAGTAAGCTCTCAGGGAAGGTCCGTGTTCCTCCAAGTTGCCACAAAACATGAAATAGGTTATGAGGCTTGCCATTCGATATGGAGTAAGATGGGAAATTATTGAACTACTTACCCCCAAATGAAAAAATAAAATGAATACAAAAGAAAAGGCAAAATCACAACACGACACATGGCCCCCAAAATCTTACTTACATTGAGTGAGAATTCCAGTTAAGGCATTTTTAAAATTCTCCTTGGCTTCCTCCATCTCTTGCTCATGGGTGGCCTTTTCATTCATTAGCCGGCGGACGTGGCTGTTGGCCGACTGCACCATGGAATAGAACTGGTTTGCAGAACGCCGATTCACTTCCCCTCGTTCAATCCAGGAAAGTAACACTGTGATAGCCTCTGAAAACTTGCTATCATCTGGAAACAGAAAACCACCAAGTACAAATCATGCCACGGCAAGAAAATACAGTTCACATTGGTTACCCTCAAAATACAGAGCTTGACCCATCCTAATGGATTCATTTTCAGAATTTGACACATTAGTTTTCCTGGGACTAATCATGCTATCATCACTTAGCTTTCTGTTCCCATCTAACTCCCTGGCATCATAGACATACAAGAAACAAAGGGACATTTTCACCCTCCTATCTACCAAATTGCTGAGCTCAGTGTTAGACCTGTTCTGGGCATTCCTTGTAATTACATACAATTTCATTCTTCCTTCAAACCCTGATTTCTCTTTCTGAAGTCTGTCTCAAAAACTGTTAGTAACCTGTATGGACTCCATTTCTTTATTCTTTGATCAGAAATAATTATACTGTGATACCAGTTTTTTGACTTATAGAATCAGCTGAGTTAGTGTCAAACTGAGGAAGACAGATTAAAGCACTATAAAACTGGTTGTAATATAATATATTGTTCCTGAGGTGGTAGTAGGAACAAGTCAATTCTTGTTCTACTACAGTTCAAAACTAATTTTATTTTAGGTATAGTATAACATACTTGAGTAGGCTGAAAAATAGAATATTTCCTTGTTTTCAACAAAAGAGGACCTGGGGTTGTCAGTGTTTGCTTGAGAGGCTACTGAAAACCTATTTGAACCTGGTTTAAGGCATGTATGTGGTCGAGGAGGAGGGTAGGAGTGGGTAAATATGTAATAAAGTTTATTTCAAAGAAAACAAATGGATTTGCTGTTTGGAATTGGTTACTGGAACAGACCTGTGTTGTATGGCTTGGAGGTGGAGAAAAAGCATGTTTGAAGGTGATTAAGTTAATTGGAACTGGAAGTTATATGTCAGTTATTACAACATTAATCAATCCTACCGCTTAAAGCTCATTCACATTTTCCAGGAAACTTAAAGGGCGGAGTCTTTTATTGGTATTTTCCTACCCCTGGAAAATGTGATTTAAGAAAAATATTCTACATTTTTCAAATAAAATGCATAGAGTCTGAATTCTAAAAATAAGGAGCAAAATTAGAAGAGTCACATTCTTTTTTTAAAAATATATTTTATTGATTTTTTTACAGAGAGGAAGGGAGAGAGATAGAGAGTTAGAAACATAGATGAGAGAGAAACATCGATCAGCTGCCTCCTGCACACCTCCTACTGGGGATGTGCCCACAACCAGGTACATGTCCTTGACCGGAATCGAACCTGGGACCTTTCAGTCTGCAGGCCGACGCTCTATTTACTGAGCCAAACCGGTTATGGCAAAGAGTCAGATTCTTACTCATTTGACAAATACTGAGTGCCCACTATGTGCCCTTCCCTGGAGGAACATCAGAGACATCCTTATGTATTGTGTGTGTGCGTGCATAGATGCATGTAATATATATTACTATACAGAGTTTACATATTAGTTATAGTGTTTATACATACATATACACATATATACACACATACATATACATATATACACATACAAACATCTATATTTATAAAAGGCTGGTTGACCAGTTGACTGGTCGCTATGATGTGCACTGACCACCAGGAGGCAGACGCTCAAAGCAGGAGCTGCATCCTGGTGTTCAGTGTGCTCCCACAGCGGGAGCACTGCTCAGCTGACCAACCCGTTCTGGAGGTCCACCAGCCTGGCGGCAGCCACTCCCTTCCTCAGTTGACCTATAGGTCCAATCTCCAGAGAACAGGCCAGTTACTGACGGACCGGTGCCATTGGCACTATCCTAACAGCACCACTGGCCTCCTGGAAGTCGGCCTCGGGCACCTTGGCCCCTTCCCCTCCCTAGATGCTCCATAAGAAAGAAATGGTATAAAAGCACCTGCCAGGTGGCTCCCGACAACCAGCACAAATGTCAGCAGGACAGATTCAGATCCTGGGCTGGGAAGGGCATCCCACAGCCTGGAGGGCCGATCAAGTCCTGCCTGCCGCCTCCCTCAGGATGGGCGCCAGACACAGGGCCCACAGGCCACCCTGAGGACCCCACCCATGCACAAATTTGTGCACCTGGCCTTTAGTAAACATATATACACTCCAGATGAATGGATAGAGGGTGATTCGTATTTGGTAAGGGAATTTTATTTTACTACTAGTGGCCTGGTGCACAAAATTTGTGCACATTAAAAGGGAATTAATTAGAGGAAATATTTTAATATTGCTATTTGCCCTTTCTCTATAATAGAAGTGTCAGAGATGAAAGAAAATTAGTAAAATGTATATGAAAATCTCCCTCCTGTCAGAGTTTGGGGCGCACCACGGGACCTAGAGTCAAGACCCACCCACCACCCACACATTCTTTGAAAATACAGGAGACCCAGACCCGTCTGGCCCCACGCCCATGGGGTGATACCCAGACCTGGCTGGCCCTACCCCTGTCAAGCTCCTCCAGGCGGGGGGTACAGCCTCAAGTCCCGCAGCCCAGTGCTGGGCAGGGGGTGCAGTCTCAGGTCCCCCAACCTGGCACCAGGGCGAGGGCCATGGCCTGAGGTCCCCCGTCAAGCCCCGCTGGGCAGAGGGCGAGGCCTGAGGTCCCTTGCCCTGGCCAGGCGCCATGCAGCCTCAGGTCCCTGCTGTTTGGTCATGATGTTATGGCATCCCGGCTAATTTGCATATTTCTCCATTAGATAGATAGATTTTATTTTATTACCTTATCTTATTCACAGGTGTTTTGGAGTTAACCATTGTTATAATTTTACCCATCATACAAAACCTGCATTTGTGGAGTGCTTTGTGAATTTTGCAGAGTCCTGTAGAAATACTGTATCGTATTTTCACAGAGTCCCCTCCCAGACAAGGTACAGCTTCATTGCTGTGGCTATGGCTGTGGCTGTGGCTGTGGCTGTGGCTGTGGCTGTGGCTGTGGCTGGGCCAGGAGGAATGCAACTGCATGAGGGTGGATCAGCCTAGGCAGTGCTTGTGGCGTGTGTTCTGCCTTTTCCAGGACAGAAGCAGCTATTACCCAGGCACTACTGACCAGCCACTCAGGCCTCCCCTGCTGCACAGTGGCAGCCTGAGCTGGGGACCAAAGCTTTGTGTCTGTGCACACCTGCCCCCGCTGCCCTGGCACTTTTGCCAGAGGAGAGAACTGGCTCGGGGAACGCCCACAGGGCACCCTGCAAGTGAAAGACTCACATTTTCTTGAAAATCTCCACCCGCAGGCACAGAACACACTTGTTCAGCATCATAGCTGTTCATACAATTTTGTTAACTCTGGAATTTCTGTCTAAGTTCAACCCTCCGTGAACTTCAGCTGCAGTGATTTCTTATCTCATTTTGTGGACCTGAGCGGCTTGTACAAGATAAAATCCATCATACAACTTAACATTACATTCAGGCCATGGAGAGGCCCATAATTTAGCCTTATGTTTGTGAGAGACCGGCTGCAACTGTTACAGCCAGAATAAATTCTGCCTCCCTCACACTCTCTACCTCTCTCCCTGCCAATATATGTTAGGAGAATGGACCACCAAAAAGACAGCAGAAATAAAACTAATGCTCATAAGAAATCTTTTTTTTTTTTTTTGTCTCAAAAAATAAGAACAACAACAAAAAGAGGGCACGGGCTTCTTGTACCATTTTTCCCCTTGCCTGTGGCTTTCATTTCTATAGAACACAAAGGGAAAAAAAGCAAAAACCCTCAACCTGTTGGTAGAAGGAGCAACACTGTACTATCTTTCCTTCCATCGCAAACTGGTAGTTTTCTCTCTTGCTTGTGGTCACTCAGCTCGTAGATATCCTAATTTACTGTTAGGAAGAAAATATATGTTTGCTTGAATTGTCTAAAAACCAAATTTTATAGTTCGTCACTCCTAGTCCTACAGCATAAGCTCATGAGCAGATTATTGTTAGCTGACAGTTTTTAGAAAGAGAGAAAACATTCTAAGGATTGTGCAAGTGCAAATATGCAATTTAAAAAGTAAGTAGGAAAGAGCCTTTCTAACATTTTAACAGATAATACTAGATAGAACTCCATTAACTTAAAAGAAGTACATAGGTTTGAAAACTCCCAATTTTCATCCTCATTTCTGAACTTTCTGAAACTGGCAGGCCGATGTATGAGTGGTATACTGACATTCCAAGACAATGTAAAAAAAATTAGGTAAAACACTATTGGTAACTCTAGTCAATATCTGTTGCCATGTAAGAAGTGATTTTGTATTAATCAAAACTAGGCCAGTAACTCTCTGAATGGCTGCCGAGGAGTTTGGGGAGTGGTCATTTTCAATTTTTAACTGTTTTCAATATCTATCTATTTTCAATATCTAAATTCAATTTTGCACTCACTGCAAAGATCACTGAGAAGCAGAAAACAATATAAACAAAACAGGATTTAGATTGCAGGATTATTAAAACTATTCCTGTGAAAAGAAATTAACAGTTTTCATAAAAATCACATCAGACACACTTATAAGAATTCCAAGTACTTCCTATGAGCATGTTTAGGCACACCTCTGAACATGGGTGCAGATTGCTTTTTCCACAGTAAGAATTCGGAATATTGGTACAGTATTATGAAGTGACTATGGAGAATTTTCTTCTTAAAAACTGACCAACGTTTTGTAACTAGGGTCCTTACAATGTCACACCTGGGTTTACCTCATAAGTTTTATTCCTTAATTTGCATTTTATCCGTCAGTCCATCCCACCACCTCTTTGTCACACTCCTCTTTGTTCGACGCCTGGCACGCCTCCCTGCTTTTGCACATGCTCTGCACTGGTCCTAGGCCCTCCCACTCTGGTCCACCTGCCTATTAGTCTTTGCTCCAGATTCAGCCTAAGTGCCTTTCATAAAAGAAGCTCTTCTGTAACCCTAGGATGAATTAGGTGCCCCTTTGCTATATTTCCACAGTTCTCTACATATCCTGCTATTAAAGTATTAGTCATTTTGTACAATAGTTGTTGGTTCATGGATCTGTCTCCAGTTGTGAGAGGCTAATATCAGAATAAAACTTCCAGGAAAAATATGCCGTCTGCTGGTTACTCCGAGTTTTTCCCTTTGAAATCTACCTACAGGGTGGGGCAACAGTAGGTTTACAGCTGCTGGTATAATAATTAATAAGGCAAGAATAAACTCTGTGCTTCATATACTCACAACTATAAACCTACTGTTGCTCCACCCTGTTTATTTCATTATACTCCA